CAAGGCGCCAAGGATTAGGAGCTCCGCCCATCCGATTACCTTGGAAAAGCGCTCAAGGATGCAATTTTTTGACAGAGCCCACCACAGTCCCAATGGGGACATCAAGCGCTCAACTGTAGGGGTGCTTTTGAGAGCAGGTGAGATGTCGATCAAGCTGAGAGGACCTACTCATGCAAAAACCTTCTATATACTGTTCCACTCACCGAGAAAATAACAGCTTTCAGTTCTTCGAACAGAACTTCAAAAAGCGACCTTATCTACAGAATAACAATAAGCAAACAGCTGACTGAAAAGTAATCTAATGAAAAGGCGAGTGCTCTTAGCAATGGGGACATCATGTCATGGTATATTTTCTATGAAGCAAGTGGGAACGGAGACATGACCATCCACTTTTGATCAACCTCGATCCATTCAATCTGCAAGTGCAGGATCGATTATGGCTACCCACAGCTTCATATGTCACCTCCCGTATCGGCAACTTCGATGAGAGCATGTGTTCTATTACTGGAACTTCGAACAGCCATCTCCAGCACAAGTATGGAGGCTGGCGACGAACGCCTACTAATAGGACCAGGTACTCGTTTTTATGTAACTTTTTAACTTCCACGTGGTATCACACTTGCATTGATGTGAGACGTTAGTTCCAAGTGAGGCGACGGGCAGTGTGTGTCCTAGCCAGCTGACCTGACACGCTGCAGCGGTGTCACGCCGAGTCACCTCTTAGATCCCGAAGCAGAAGCAGTGCCTGTGACTCTGCCACTGGGGGTTATTTACAGCACTTACCATAACGTGGAACTAATATTCCACAACAGCATTGCCTTAGTACTGTGCTGATTGTGGGTGCCACTGAAGTCGTCTTTTCCTTCTTCCACTTTGTTCCCGTTTTCTTGCCTTTGCAATTACTTTGCTTAACACATCTAGTGGAGGGGTAGAACCCTGGGCTGCTGATGTCACTGTCCTTACTAAAATTTGTCGGAGTAAAACGCGAAAGGCAGCATTAAAGGGGGCTCCCGATGAAGCATAATATGTATGAAATTGCTGCTTCATCGAGAGATGCCGGCGGGGGTGGATACATGGCGCGCCTCAAAAGGAAAAATCAGCTCGAAAAAAAAACTTCACAAAACGGAATACGGCACGCTCCTTCCCCTTTCTTTAAGGATTCCCTCCGCACGGCGTGCCTTGGGTGAAGCATATGTATTGTGCCATTGATGAAGGGGACGGCAGCCGCCTATCCGATTATCAAAGAATATGTGTTCAATCACCTCCGAAGCAAAACGAATGTCATGATTGGTAGTGTCTCCAAAGTTAAAGAAGCTATTCCTTTAAACAATAAAGTGGGTGCTGTACCCGAGGTGATAAGTGAATTATGGTTTCGTTATGATAACAGAAAGTGAGAACTCGTACAAACACGCCTCCTGTTTACTGTGCGGTGTTAGCCTTGCTTCTCGTATGGGAGCACTTGAACGGTTTTTTTCTTCACTATTTGGCCACTTCTTACACTGGCACTAGTATTAGAGCTCCACTACGAACTTTGCCTTCAGTCGTCAAAGGCAATAGGCAGTCAGATCAGATGTTGTATGTCTTAATATGCCTAGCAGAATATGATTCAGCGCCACTGGGAAAGCGCTCTGTAGCGCCTTTTCCAAGGAGGTATCCTTATAGCGCCTCATCAAGCTACATACCGACCCGGACGCCCATCGCGTTCGTCCGTTCAATGATGCGGCGGATCCTGATCCTCCAATCGCACTGTAATATGAGGCGAAGGGCTTATATGAAGCGGCTGCGTCGCTGCGTGAATTTAAGGGTACACACACTCATCCGTATCTACCGTGGCGATAATTATCGCGATAATTAGCACGACCAGGGCACATCATTGGTTGGGGATTTCGGTCGAGTCCGTACGACCCCCCTTTTTGACGCATGGAACAGGAAAATCACGAAAAGTCACCACTCCAACCACTCCTAGAAGGCCAAGTTAACATACGACCCCCCCCCCCTATGAAACAATTGGAGCAAGTGCGAACCACCCCCCTCCCCCACTTCAAAACGTCCGTGGAGCAAGAAAAATCAACTATCAAAATAAATTTTTCTCAGCCCAAGTACGACCACCCCTCTCCTGGCGGCAAATACGACCTCTCCTGTTGGGATTCCACCAACACGAGCCTAGCACGACCGCAACTGAAAGCCTCGCCCAAAGTGCATTTCTGAATCGTTCAGGACCAAAGGTTAATAGCTTTCTGGACCGTTTCTCTTCCCTTTTTGGCCTTTTTCCCCCTCAGTGTGTGCGCATACCTGTTACGATTTTGGGCCGTGTACCAAATTATCGTGCCTGCCTTATGCTTTTAACTGATGCCTAAACGTAAAGTAATAGAAAAATTAGGATGATCTGTGTAGTCTAATCAGCAACCATAGTCCTTTTCAAAACAGGCAAAAGTAGCTGAGCTATTTCTGAATCCGCCGATCAGATGCTCTTCGTGATGGTTACCATCCAGCTGCGAACAGGAACATCACTAAGCAAACGTTCGGTCGCAACACATTATCCCAGCTCTGTAGCGCTCCAGGTCAGCTGATTTTAACGCTATTCGAACCTACGCTCCATCAACACCTACCTTGTACAGAGTGCGTGTATAGCAAGCGTGAAAGTGCTCTATCTGAAACCTCGTTCGCAATATTAGGAGATCGATTCCCACATTGACCCGACAAAAAGGCTGCCCTTTATATTCGTGTAGTGGTACACTAAGGAGAAATAGTGACTAGCGACTCGACCGACCCGTTATTCATCGTACAGACTCCAAAAGCATTCAAGTTATTGTCGTGATTTGTAATGGGAAAGCGGAAAACACTAGCCGGATTACACGCCTAGCCAATCTAGACTTATTTCGCGCTACCCGTTACCTTTAGGAAAAAATATGTGTTAGTAGCTGAAGTCACACACAATGGAAAATAGACGATTTACTCCCATTAGCCAAAAATTTCACGTACAAAGTTATCAATCACGCACCGAGAGTGAGAAACGGAGCTGAGCGTAGTGAAGGCGGAAGGCGCGCCACACGGCGAATGGCAGCTAGGCCACGGCATCGTTTTCATCCTCGAGACACGTGCCGTACGTAGTGGTTTCAAACGCGCGGAGTGAAGTCATTTTCGACAGGTACAGGAATATTGCCTTTGAGAGAATCAGGTGCGTCATTCCACCACCCCCCTCACCCACCTATTACCTTTCGCTCAACAGGTTGCAGAGAAAAAGTGGAGGACTTTTGGGAAAAATCACAAGAAAAGGGAGGAAGTTGGGAAAATCAGGGGAGACGGTAGGCAGAATGGAGTTATCGAGAAGGACAAGGAGCGTCGTACTTTCCGTGAACTCCTCCCCAACAGCACGGACATCCATTCGTCGCACTTCCACGAGGTACGATTGCCCCATTGAACTTCTGCCCCTAACGCTTAGAGAGACGAATAGAGGAGCCGCGACCTCGTCCCTCCGCTTACCCTCTTACCACTACCTTAGCTCTAACAGATATGCTATGTAAAGTGAACAACTGCAGTAGCTTTCTGTAGAAATACAATGACTCATACGCTGGGCTTAAGCATATCTGAAAATTCGGGAAGCTTGCAAGAACGCTTCTGCGACTCTTTGCTAGCCTTCACATTACGGAAGACCTGCATGCAAACACTCGCTATAGTTGAAATTCAACAGCTTGATTATTCTTTACCAACAGAGCTGCATCAGGAATACCAACAACTCATCAGTACACTTACTAGAAAGAGTTCTAAATTTTCACAGAGAATAGAAACTTGATTACCTTTCCTATTTTTCTGGCTGGCCTTATCTCTATTTTTTAAGGAGATAGGCCACCAGAAAATAGGTTATGGTAACGTAAGAAGTACACTTATAAAAGAAAAAAGCCGTTTAGTGCATGCGTCAATCATTTTTGGAAATCGCTTTTGCCAACATAACTGCAAGGATTCGGTTGGCGCGTACCCCTTCCTCTTTTATCAAAGGTTAACACGACCACCCCCTAGTTCCCTCACTCATCGCAGCTGTTCGGCGGGTAGAAAAAAGTAACATAACACGTGAAAGGGAAAAGCGCTAGGAAAATACGACCTCGCCTCCCCATCTGGTGTACCACTTCCTTCGATTTCGGGGAGGAGATAGTATATGTACGTAATAAATATGAAACAGGAAAACCCGAAAAATCAACAACCTTTCTCAAAAGGCCAGAAGCAAATACGTCCCCCTCCCCCTTTACACGCGTCTCTAAACAAGGAAAAATCAGCCAATCAAAAGATTTTTTACAGACCAAATACGATTCCCCTAGCCTTCGCGACCAAACACGACCCCTCCCCCTGTTGGGGAATCCCTACAATGATGTGCCTTGTCACTAAATTCGATATGCCTACACAATGACTTTCGTGGGTCAGCCGATGCTCAAGCCGATCCTTTTATGTTCCCAGACGAGCCTAGTGCCAAGTTGCCGTTCTCAAAGCGTATAAGACCTGGTTGGCCTTGATGGGAGCTGATCCAATATTTGGCCACAGGGCCATGCGTGCAAAACGAGCCTGTTGTCGTTACACCAGCTCCGTCTTGAAAATCATAAGAATGGGAACCAAATTATTACGGCTACCTGAATCCCACCAGCCAGCTATAAGGAGCCAAAGTCGGTAGCTTGGTTGAAAACATCCTGGATGAGGTGCCTGTTAGCATGTATCGAATGTTCCGTTTACCTCTCAAACGAACAGGATATCCATGTTCACAAAGCAAAAGTACCTCTGTTGAGTTCTCAGCAAATCGAGATGCCAGAATGCACCTTTGTGCCACCATAGCTTTTCAACACTGCAAACTTTGACTGCGCACACCTCGCTTGTAGTATGCGAGCGGTAATTTCACTCTATCTTTATAATTAGCTTCGAACCCCACATCAAAATATCTTTGTTCCCATTCAAAGTTCCCTGGCAATTGGAACTGTTTCCTGGTCAGTGACCAGAAAAGTAGCAAAAAAAACTGACTCCTCCTTGTAAGTGCGAATTATCCATTGATTCCCATGAGGATGAAAAACCTCAACGGATCTATGATAGGTGCGGCCGTCAAATCCACCGATAGCGTATATCTTTCCGTTGAGAACTTCCACTTTTACCTAAAAAAGTATCTCTTCTGAAGTAGATTACAATGCGTTCCACGATGCAATAACTAACATAAGATCGTCTTTTGGTCATAGCAGCTACTGAAATCCAATCATTTCTGCGAGGGTCGTATTTCTCGACTGATTTCAGTCGGCCGCCTTCTCCTTTTTCTCCGCCTAGTGCGTACAAGCAGTCACATATTACAGCAGACCCCAGGTGCATTCGACGTGTAGACATCCTATGAACGAACTCCCATCTGCCAACTCGCGGATCTAATCTGAAAAGAAGGACATTGCGTTCACATTTCACGTCTATCCCTCGCTCATTTGCACTAAACTATGGGGTTGGCCACAGGTAATGACCTAGACTGAAATTTTGCCCAAAGATAAGATGGTTTAGGAAGAGCGTTCCAGACATTTTGGTGGAATTCCTCTACACGAAGATATCCCTAATTCATTTGAAAATTCTATTCCCATCAATGTCCGAATGCTCAGTGTCACGTCGGACGAATCTGGGCTTTTTCGACAGCCTTATACTTTTGCATTGGATTGAAAAACTCTAGCCAGGGATGCTTGTTCGTTTAATGCTTGGCGAAGAAGCCATGCTTCTTGAGAAGACAAAAACGGTACAAAGGCAACTGGCACGATAATCTGGGTACTCGGCCTAAAACCCTAGTAGGGTGCTATAGTGGTACAATGGCGAAGAAACGAAGGGAATTGATCAAAACCTGCGAAAAAAGTCTTCGTTCTCAATGACTCCAGTAGCTATTTTGGACGAGTTTTGCATAAGCAACTTGCCAGTAAACGCTATGGCAGGTACGGCTGCACGACGGTCGTCCATTTGCGAGCGTGCGGGATACGTTGAAGCTTGACAGGACTCCTATAAGGGCGCATTCCTTTGAAGTGGCTCCACGCAGCGCCTGCTCAGGGACGCGGAATTCCGTCCTGCCAGGCGTGTTAATCCTATTCGTCTTAGGGATTTATCGTGCCAACATCCTTTAAAGGCAGCTGGCACATTGAATTCCTAAAGATTATGCATCAATACAGCTGGCAGAATTACGTGCCCCGAACAGGAGCTGCATGAAGCCTATTCTAAGGAATGTACCCCTACTGTGCCCCACCAGGCTGCAACATGTTGGCCAGGACGCTCACTGCGCCCGCCCGCTCACAAATGCTGTTGCTGCTGTTGCTCGTACTGCTTGGTTTGCGAAGTACAATATGACTCGGAGGAGTTGATGTAAAGCGGCTGCGGTACTGCCGTGATATATTGATACACCGATGCAACCATCTCTACCTTAGCGGGCGCTGGCACGACGGCAGCGAGGAACTCCTTCACAAGTGCTTCGTTAGCCGCGTAAAACAACGGGTTGTTTTTTTGCAGGTTTTCGAACACTTTACTCAAATTTTTCGCCTTTTCCCCCCACTGTATAACACCCCTGCTTATGATGACAACTGCCTTGGAGGCACGCCTTGCGTTCATTTCATGTCCCTACCGAGTCAGTACAAAATGGTACGATCGCATATGAGGCATAAGTCAAGCAAGAACGACCGCGGAATCGAAGAGGTGAGCACGGAGCTTGGTGTTCTTCGTCTTCTTCGCTACTCCCTCGATGTTCTTGAAGGCTCCCCAAGCCGCTCGCTTCCTCCTGCTCAGCTCTGGTGCTAAGTCGTTCATCATATTGATTTCACGACCCAGGTACACATAGCTAGAGCATTCAGAGATGGTCGTTCCGTTGAGCGTGAATAGGGCATCAGAAACCAATCCGTTTCTCATAAGCATCGTCTTCGTTAGATTCAGCCGTACGATTTTTCCACACGCGCAGTTGAAATTAGCCAGCATCCGTTCCGCTTGCTCGATCTTACAAGGGAGGTCTTCAGCCGTGGTGAGCTTTTTCAAAACGGTTTGTCGCATGTTGTAGGGGTCCATGCGAGGACCACAGCTGTGGGGTTCATTTTTGCTAAACGGTTTTGGAAATGGTACAAAAAAAAGGTCAAAAGATCAATTTCGAAAAGAAGTGGGGCTTTTTAAACCACCTTTATTGCCCTCCTATTCTAGTCTGTAGCGTTTGACATGTATAGATTAGGGTATTCCTTTGACGCAGGCATGCAAGACATCTCAAAATAAGGTCAAAATCCAAATGGTGTACTTGGCATGCGGTGAGCTGCAGTGGAGTTTTCCGGTCATCTGCGCATATCTCTTCAACAGTTCCTGTATCGTTAGTGTCGCAGTGGCAGATGGTGTGGTGGATAGTGCGGCGGGTTTTCGGACGGTGGTTTGTGGACTCGATCCCATGCGCCGACAACCAATTTTGCAAAATTTTTTCAACATTTCTTGCTTCTTGTGTTCCTGTAATAGCCTCCATAATCTGTAATGACCCGGATTACGCCATTGCTGAAAGCCACGAAATTCCATTCGGGAAGCGTTCACAAATCAGGCCTCACTCAAATATTGCGCTCAGCGAAATACTAACTCGGAAAACTCTTCCAATCGAAACTTGTTAGCGGCGTTATTCCGACTCTCTGAGTCATGAACATGACACTCATTTTTAAATATGGCGCAATGTGTCGCCAATTTGGTGCGAAGGCTTTCTCGTACCACCATCATTGTCAGTCTGCGCGGCGGGTCTTATTTAGCGCCATACTGGTCCAAGATGGCCTCCAGGCCAAAAATAAGTGTCAGAACCGTGATCAGGGCCATCAATTATCTCTACGTATAGAGTTACGCCGGAAAAATTTTTTCCGAGTTTTTTGTGTTATGGTGCATGCCATATCTCCAGCTAGTGGCTATCAGTTCCCCCCCCCCCGCCCTCCCCCCGGAGTGTCGTTATCCAACATCGTTAGGAGGAAGCTTTTCATTTGCTAGTATGCAGACGGAGAATTAAAAACTACACAAAAAAAGTGACGCACATACACTGCACTCCTCTCATACCTTTGATATGAGAAACAAAAACCTTTCTTCGGGCAAGTGGTAACGAGTTCTTTCTCGAAAGCATAGACGGTAAAAGTGAAGAAAGATCCAGGATGCTCGTTTAGTGGCTCCGAAGCTAGCAAGATGTTCTATGAAGACCTACTGAAGTTGAGGGGCAAGAAATGAAAAATTTCCTGGTTTGTATGCCACAGAGGATACTCCAATGGAGGAATCCGGCCTGTCAACTGCCATCCAAATTGTCAAGTTCCTATGCCCACAAAAAACTCAAAAAAAATTTTTTTCGCTGGAACTCCTAAATAGGGGTAATCAATGGCCCTGATCACGATTCTGACAATTATTTATGGCGCCGACGTGATCTGGGGCCAGCGTGGCGCTAAATGGCCACTGCGAGCGCGAAGGGATGCTGCATAAACCCCTAAAGAAACTGCAGTATACCTCACTGTATGCAAAGTAAAGCACTTCAATTTCGACCTTATTCAATATTGTTTTTCATGTCTAGTTGAGGAACACTTTATAAACTCTATGTATTCTGCTTTACAGCTGAAAACAGATGCGAATGAGATGATAAAACTTGCGTATTTTAAGCGATTTGTTTTTATTCCTTTTTGACATTCCCAATAGCGTTTAGCAAAAATGAAACCCATCTGTGTGGTCCTTGTATGGACCCCTACAACATGCAACAAATCGTTTTGAAAAAGCTCACCACGGCCTGAACGACCTTCCCTTGTTAGGTTGTTATCAAAACGATGTTGTACCGAAGCGGAGATTGGTGCGGTTGCCAACCGTCGATTCACTCCCACATCCTACCATTTCGGTTGACGCATGACGTTCTTGGAAGATGCGCTGGAGAGCGTGGGCGAGATGATGTCTCCCTGTCGGACCCCTCTCTTTGCGTCGATGACGATCTCCTTGGAGAATGGTGAGATCGTGGTCGTGAAGCTGTAGAGTTAACGAAAATCCTACGTACCGACATAAGAATACCCTGATTTGCCCAATCGTTTGATAAACCGCTTCTGTCTCAACTGAGTTTAAGCTTCACTTCTTCGGTCTTCTAAGTCCGATGAAGGCATAACTGCATCTTGTACTCTAGCGATACTTCGATGAGATTTGTTAACGTGTGGATGTGCTGTGCTGAATCCTCTTCGAAACCCTGCTTGCTGGCATGGCTATCCTTTGTCTAGTGCTCCTGTTCAGGATGACTCGTGTGAAGAGTTTGTAGACTACAGACAGCAGGCAGATTGGGCGATAATTGCCAATGTCGTACAGGTCTCCCTTCTTGTACAGCAACACAGTCTTGCTGGTTTTCCACGAGGTGGGTACCTTGCATTCCGACAGGTAGCGCGTGAAGAGTCGAGCCAGAGTTTTGACAAGAACTGGCGGAAGATTCTTCAGATGTTCGGGTCTGATCCTGTCGGGACCAGGTGCCGTACGATTCTTCACCGACGAGATGGCGTGTCGGACTTCGGAAGAGAGAACTGCAGGAACGACATATCCATCCTGCTTCCAAAGGTATGGTGAGAGGTGACGTGGCTGTCAAGGAATCAGTGTAGCAGTTCGTAAAGATCGACCTTCCTATATTTGCCCTGCTATGCAGTGATTTGTCCTATCCGGACATCGGAGGGCGGTCATCTTGGTCTTACAGTTGGCGAAGTCGCGGCGGGCGTTGCCTATGCTCTTCCAGAGCCTCTGCGGCTCCACTAACACTGCTGCTCTTCTCTCCTGGAGGTCTTCCTTTATCGCTTCTCTGCATAGCTCCGCAAGACGTCAGCAGGTGATTGCCTGCGGCTCGCGCGGCTGCACTCTGGCACGTTGGCGAATCAGCTCGAGAGTTTTCAGAGATAGGCACTTCTTGATAATTTTAGAGCTCTGTGACTTCTTGGCGCAGTCGTGAAGGTGTGTAACAAGCCGCTAATATTATTTTTGTGGCTCCTTCTCTCCTCTCTCTCCCTCGGCTCTCATCGCTCGCATCGAAAAACGAAATCTTGCGCGAAGGAGACGTTGGCCATCCCGTGTAGAACTTAGGAACAACAGCGACATTGGTCAAGCATAAGATGATGTGGTAGATCTCACAATAGGACTGTCCACTGGGAGACTCCCATGCCCAGATTAGAGAGCAGGGTTGATTTGCGAGTTACCATCGAGTTACCATGGATGGAATTTGTCGGCATGATAAACTCAAACAGCCTTTCACCATGCTCATTCCACTACGTTCCGTAGAATCCGAACGGAGTTCTTCAGCTGTTTTTCTTGGTCCGATCTAGCGTGTGAAATTACTGGACCTTAGAAGAAGGTAATGATTTCCTTTGTGG